CGCGCGTTCAGACATCCCACCCAGTCGCGCGCAGCAAGCTGGTCAACTCATGATCGGCTACGAGGGGCTCAGCTGCCTTCTCCTGCGCGCCGTCGGAGCGTCGGACATCCAGCCGGCCGTGACATTGTAGCGCTGCAAGATTTGCGAGATGCTCTACCCGACTAGCGCAGCGCAGCTCGCGCGCCTGACGGGGCAGCTGCGACGCTTCGGGGATCGCCGGGTGATCTCGCCCACGCGGCGCGCTCGCCCCAGCGGCGAACCTTCCTCGCGGGCGCGCCCGCAGAATGTTTGTGGCGCTATAGCGGGGGCGGCCTGGGTCCAGCTGCACTGGGGGTTGCCCCGAGCCCGCCTGCCCTCGCCACCAATGCATGGGGGCTTTCCCAGCAGCAGGTGTCGACTCAGGCACAGGCGCCGGCCTTGAACTATGCGACGTTCCCGTGGAGCAGCGCAGCGCGCGCCCTATCTTGGCTTGCGAGCGCGCCAGGGCGCGATGGCGCGGCTTCGACAGCCGCGAGCCCGCTCGCCGCGTCCAGAGGGCCATCGGGCGGAAAAGCACGGGCAATGGCAAAGGCATCCGTGCCTTCTTGGTCCATTTGCCCGACAATGAACGTCCGCGAGACATTCGCGTGTTTCGCGGAGGGCAAAGGTAAGAGGGGGGAGAAGTTCAGGTCCGGTGGCGTGGGCTCGGGCCGTCGCGGCAGCTCCACGGGCCCTGCCGGGGTGCGCGCCAAGTGCCGCGAGCGCGAGTCAGACCAGCGCCGCGCGCGCGATTGCCCCAGGCGCAACGGCCAAGGGCGCGCTCTCCACTGCGACCTCTGCGCCCAGCGCCAGCTCCCGCGCCGCTCGCGCGCCGCGCACAACGACGACCGCCAAACGTAGTTCAGCAGCAGTCCTTTGCGGGTGCGCGCGCACTTTGGGTGGCCCGGGGCATCGCGGGGGCTCCGCAGTAGACTGCGGCCCTCGGTGGGAGTGGCCCCGCGTAGAGCTCTGACCCCTGGAATGGCGGACAGCCGGCGCCAGCGTCAGCGGCGCAGCGGCCGGCGTCTGCATCCACCGCTCCAAGTCCGTCGCCCAACGGCTCGTGGCAGCAGGTTGGCCACAGCCAGTGGTCGCGATGGCTTGGGATAGCGTCGTCTTCGCTGTCGTCGCCCAGCCGGTGCGACGCCGAAAGTCGACGATTGCGAAGGGAGATGGCCGACCTTATGGGCCAGGTGCAAGCCTCTGCGCAACCGACGTGTCCTCCGACTACGTCGCAGGGCGGAGCGGCCAGAGCGGGGGGGCGCCGCCGACCGCGCCGGCAGCCCCGGCATCGCCGCCGGCACCGCCGCAACCGACGCTCTCCGGGCGCGTTCCACTTGTCGTAAAGTTCCTACTCGCAAACGCCCAGAACAAATCTGTCATCCTTTTTGCATTGATTGTACTCCGCCCGCGGCGGCTTCAGGCCATTCGCGAGTAGGTACTTTGCGAGTAGTGGAACGCGCATGTCTAGACACTGCCGCGGCGGGCACGGGCGGGCGGTGCATCCCCATTGGGGCAAGCGCAAGGGCGCGACTGGTTGGGGGGCCTCCAAGTGCAAGTTGTTGCGCCTCCTGCTCTGATTTCCGACGCGCAGTCGCCGAGCTGGGCATGCGCGCCGTCAGCGACCTCGCTCGGCATCGGCGCGCGACGTGGATTTTGTTCCATGTGGCCGCCTCAGTCAGCGCCGGCGCCCGCGTCGCCGCCAGTGCCAGAGCGCCCCTTTTGATTGGCCGTATTCAGCCCAGACAGACCGCTAGACATGAGCCAACCATCTGAGAGAGTGGCCATGCGCTTTGCTGGGCGCAAGACCTTGTCCAGCGGCGGCCGAGCCGAGCGCGGCGCGCGCGCCCCCTTCGATGGCGCCCAACGACGACGCCTCGACGAGCTTCACGGCGCCCAGCTGGCATTGGAGCTACTGCGACAGCAAGGCGAGCAGCAGCGCCGTGCCGCGTAGGGCGTAGGGGTAGATAGGGCGCCCTATCAATCCTCGTCCTGTGCCGGCCGCAGCGCCCGCTGCGCCCCCATCCATTGCTGCGTTCGCCGGCGACGATGGGGAGTGCGCAATTTGTCCCGAGGCCCGTGTTCGCAGCGAGAGGGTGGCGTGCTTGTCTGCGTCGCGCGCGCCGCCTACAGGTGGCGCAGACCACTGGCGCCCACTTGGTGCACTGCCCGGCGTGTCGCGGACCAGCCGACGTCGTCGCCGACTTCCGTTTTGCTAGTGCAGATCGTGCTCCGACGTGTCCGACGCCTATGGCGCCAGCCGCTGCGGCAGATCGTGATCCGACAGGCCCGACGCCCGCGGCGACGGCCCGCGCGGTGCCAGAGAGGGGCGCGCTAGAGGCAGCGCCGCCGCAACGGGGCGCCGCGCAGTCTCCCCTGCCGGCCCTGGCCCCCAGAAAACCACGGCCAGACCTTATGCAGTCGCCAGGCAGTGCGTCCAGTTTCGCGTCAGCAGTAGATGCAGCAGTGCCGTGCGACGCTGACTTGGATTGGCGCGTGCTTCTGCCATCTTGGCGACTCTCCCGCGGCGGCCAATTTCGCCGGGTGCAGGTCGAGATCTTCGAACCACTCGCCATGCTACTTGGCGAGTGCCGAATTGCCTGGCGGTCGGTCAGGCGTCTTCGTCGACGCCTGCGCCTGGGCCAATCTCTGGGACATGCGTTTCGCCGTGAGGTTGGCCGCGAGAGCCAGGCAGGCGGTTTTACAGCCCTCGAGGGAGAAACTGTTGGACCGTTCTGCGTTGCAGGATTTGGCAGCGGGTCACAGGTGTCCGAATGGGACATTCACGGCCCAAGTGCGGCGACCTCCCGCGAAGACGCGACCGCGCGGCGCAGCGTGCGCGCTCCGGCCGTGGAGGGCGCAGGCTCTGATCCCCCTGCCTTCTCAGGTCTGCTATCCGCGCGGGCTGGCGACGGGGTGGTGGAGACAGGCGTGAAACGCAGACGCTTCGCATTCCCCGGGCCGGGCGACTAGGAGATCACTTGGGGCCCCAGCGCCGTCCGCTTCGACCTGGAGTTGTCTCCGAGTGAGTACCTGTGCATTTCAGTCGACGATTTCTGCGCAGTCCAGGGGCCTGCCGCCAAAGTAGCTCACGCTGCTGGCGGCCGGCAACGACGACCAGCAAACGATCGCCGCGACGCCGACGGACGCGAGTTCAACGAGCTGAAGACCCAGCATCTCGATCCAGGTACAAGGTTCGCCTGCACATGATACATCCGGCTCCACCTGCTACGACCTCTGCGCCAGTGCCGACATCGGTCTCGGGACATATGGTCGTGAACTGGTGTCCACGTT